ACTGTAGTTTTGACATTCTTGTAAGCAACTTCAAAGATTCCGATTCCTTACACCCATATCAGCAAAGTTATCTTCTGGTGTTTTGCTTGTTTAAGTTTTAATTTTATTATTTTTAAATTTGTTTTTACTATTTTTAATCATGTATATTTGTGTCTGTGTGTGGATATATGCACATGGGTTCAGGTGTCCTAGGAGGCCAGAGGTACCAGATTCCCTAGAGCTGGAGTTACAGGTGGTTGTGAGCCACCTGTTGCGGTGCTGGGAACTGAACTTGTGTCCTCAGGAAGAGAGGCATATGTCTGTAACCTCTCTGAGCCATCTCTTCAGCACCTGTTTCTGCAGGGTTTTAATTTGTTTGTTTATTCTAGGGTCTCACTATGCACCTCTGGCTGGTCTGGCACTCTCTTCATACAGTGGACAGCCTTGAACTCAGGGATCTGCCTGCCTTCCTCTGCCTCCTGAGGAGTGGGACTAAAGATGAGCCCTTTGCTGAGAAGCAGAAGAGATGCGAAGTGTCTACTCAGCTGCTAGAGTTAGCAGTCAGTATGTGGCAGGTTCAGTTAGAACTCTGTGGAATCAGTTTTATGTGTCTCCCTCCCTGGGAAGAATGTCTAGGTAGCAGGTGGAATATTATGCCCGGGTGTTTCTGTGAGGGTTTGTTCTAGAAGAAACCAGAAAGAATTTGAATCAGTACACCAAGTAAAGACCCACCCTTGCCTGTGTGGACAGACACCACCCAGAGACTATCAAAAGAAAGCCTGCAAAGAACAAAACACAGGAATGGAACATTCTTTCCTCCTCTTCTTTCCCCTCCTCCTTTCCTGACTCCTTCCTCTCACATCTCCTCCTCCTCTTCTTCCCCACCTCTCTCCTCCCTCTCCTCCTTCCCCCCTCCTCCTTCCCCCTCCCCCCTCCTCCTCCTCCTCCTCCTCCTCCTCTTCTTTTTCTTCTTCGCAGGGTTTCTCTGTGTATCCTTGGCTATCCTAGAATCTCTCTGTAGACCAGGTTGGCCTCAAGATCTGCCTCTCCTGAGTACTGGGATTAAAGCCACTACTGCTTGACTAATTCTTAACCATTATAAGGAATCACTGAGCATAGATTTGTGTCAGTATGTAAACTGGCCATTATATGGGGGACAGAATCAAGAGTTCACCAACAGATGGTAAGAAGC